GTAAGACAGAGCTAATAAGAACAATGACAATACTACCTCACAGGGCTTTGTGAGGATTGAGTTAATACGTGTAAAAGTGATCAGAACAGTGCCTAGCTCATAGGACAACATGAGCACCAGCTAATATTAACACTAACGTATTAACTGCTAGGTGGAGAAATTAAGCCTCCTTACAGGAGTCGAAGAAGTTTTTCTAAGGAGAGGACATCAGATCTGGGCCTTGAAGGATGTGCAGGAGTTCACTAGGTGAAGAGTAAGGGAAAGGACATTTCAAGGGAAGAAAATAGTTCAAGCAAATGAGCTGAACCATGGAAGTAATCATATGCATTAAAACAAACAAAACCTAACAGCTGAAGCCTACGTGGGTGGCAGACAAAGCCTGAGGCACCATTTCTGGCCATTAGTACTACAGTCCACTCAACTAGTCAGTCTTAAGTCACAGCTTGCCCTGATAGCTTCCAAGAAATGACACCATATCATAAACTAACATTTTAGTAGCGTTAATTTTTTGGCCAGGCGCAGTGGCTCATGTCTATAATCCCAACACTTTGAGAGGCCGAGGTGGGCAGATCACGAGGTCAGGAGATAGAGACCATCCTGGCCCACATGCTGAAACCCTGTCTCTACTAAAAACACACAAAAAATTATCTGGGCATGGTGACACGCGCCTGTAATCCCAGCTACTTGGGAGGCTGAGGCAGGAGAATTGCTTGAACCTGGAAGGTGGAGGTTGCAGTAAGCCGAGATTGCACCATTGCACTCCAGCCTGGCAACAGTGAAACTCCATCTCAAAAAAAAACAACAAAAATTTTTTTCCCCAATGAAGCAAATAAATCCAATTTATACCTACCATTTACTTGGCAGTACAGTGCCAAAACACTATGTTATTTACAAAAGGACCTCACTTAATCTTTACCATGTCCCCTGGAATACAGATAACTTCATTTAATATATGAGGAAACAGGCTTTTAAGCAATATTCCCAAGATCATATAGATAGTATTTTAGAAAGTAAAGTGTTCAGCTGCAAATACAAATAGTGGCTTCTCTCTCCCCCTGCCCCTTCCCCGCCACATAAAACAAAGTCTGGAGGTGGGCAGTTATTATTAGTTCAGTTATTCAAAAATGCCACCAAAACACCTTCCATCTTTCCCCTCCACCATCTTTTAGAGTATCAGCCATTGGCCCTGAGGTTTATAAGGTTTCCCATTCCCAATAATGCTTTCTTATTCTCATCTTAAAGTCTTACCAGTCAGAATTTTGTCAAGCTTTACTTTTTGAAATATTTCAGAGGTCAGCTCAATACAACTCACTAATTTCACAGATGGGGAAATAGAGAGATTTGCCCCTAGCAAACTAACAGAATTAATTAATTAGTTAAATGAGCCTGGAGTTGAGTGCTCCTTCCATGATACCAATTTAGTGGGGACTGTAAGTTACCCACCAAAATCTGTCCTCCCATTCCTTCTTGGCACATGGCTTGACTACGTTTCTCAGCCTTCCTGGCAGGTAGGTGTGGCCATCAGGCTAAGTCCTTGCCAGTATAAAGTGAGAATGTATGCAGAAGTATCCATGCCACTGCAGGGTCTAGGCCTTCAGTCAGCAGGTCAGCCTTCTCCCTGCTCCTTTTCCCCTTCCCATCAGCTGGGACCAGTGAGGACCCAGCTTCAAGCACATAGCAGATGAAGACAAAGCTCCAGAGGATGGAGAAGCAACATGATACGAAGAACCTGTGTCCCTGAATGACCATTTGGAGCAGAGCTGTCCCAATGACCTGGACTGCTCACTTCAGACAGGTTAACTCCCTTCAGAGCTGTTATGTGGGGAAAAATAAACTTCTTTAAGCCACTGTATCGTTCAGTCTCTTTGTTATAACAACTTAGCCTTTTACCCACACTAATACAAACATGCAGCTTCCCTTGTAAGCATTCAGAGTAGCTTTACAAATAACCAGTTAGCCATCATTTTTGAAAACAGCCCTAACTGCCTAAGTAGGTGATAATCAAATACTAAAATTCATGCCAGTGGCTATCCCAAAATTTCTTCATCCTGGCTGAAGGATATTGAAGCAGATCACTTATGTAGAGACCTAGTTAGTTTTTATGCTTTCGTGCAATTAATTTAACAAATATTTGACTGTTTCTAGGTGACATGGATATTAACAAGTCACTGCATTCATAAAAGGTTGATTTCATCCATGTGTTTGGGGGAAGGGATGATTTTATTTTTGAGCCACATGGTCTTACTCTGTCACCCAGACTGGAGTACAGTGGCATGACTGTGTCTCACTGTAGCCTCAATCTCCCAGGCTCAAGTCATCCTCCTACCTAAGCTTTCCAAGTAGCCGGGACTATAGGCATGTCCCATCATACCTGGCCATTTTTTTTTTTTTTTTTTTTGGTACAGACTGGATCTCACTACATTGCCTAGGCTGGTCTCAAACTCCTAGGCTTGAGTGATCCTTCTGCTTCAGCTTCCCAAAGTGTTGGGATTACAGGTGTGAACCACTACACTCACACTATTGTTTCTTAATGTTATATTGTGTTTTTTGTTTTGTTTTAAGCAAAAAAAAAAATCCTCTTTGGAACTAAACGGAGCTAAGAGAGTACAAAAAATTACCGAGAGTTAGGAAGGATCAAGCCGTATTCCTGGAGTACAAATGAGCCGTTCTCTTGCTTAGCCCTAAAAATCAAGTAAAGTATTTTCAAGTCTAAGAATCTAGATCTCTCTTCAGAATCAAAGTACTTACTACCCACTTACAACAATTGCCTGAACTGTAAGAAGTATCTAAAGCTGGCCAAGTTGGCCATGAGCCACCAGCAGGAAGTGGCTCATGCCTGTAATCCCAGCACTTTGGGAGGCTGAAGCAGGAGGATCACAAGATCAGGAGTTCAAGACCAGCTTGGCCAATACGCTGAAACCCTGTCTCTACTAAAAATACAAAAACTTGCCGGGCATGGTGGGTGGTGCACGCCTATAGTCCCAGCTACTCAGGAGGCTGAGGCAGGAGAATCACTTGAACCTGGGAGGCAGAGGTTGCAGTGAGCCGAGATTGTGTCACTGCCCTCCAGCCTGGGCGACAGGGAGAGAGACTCCATCTCAAAAAAAAAAGTATCTAAAGCCTAATCAAGATTTTTACTGACAGAAGCAGATGAACCTAATAGCTCACTGAGTATTGGAATTAATTGCCAAAGCCATTTAGATAGCACTGCTGGTGTGATGGAGTGGAGGCTCTGGGTACCTGGACTGGAGGGCTATGCTTGCCTGGAGATTAGCTATGGCCAGATGGTACAAAATGGCATTCCTCATTCTCACTCCAGGCTGAGCAAATAGCCCAAAGCTCTATGGTACTTTTCAGCTCTCAGATGAGATTTGGTATGAGATTTAGTAGTAGAGTAAGAAAGGTGATCTAAGGTTTGTCCTGCCTTTGCCTTGCTCTGTGACCGGAACATCCATATTTTAGGCCTGTTTCCCCACCCATACGAGAGATAAAGGATTTTTTCACCTCTAAATTTATGACCATCACAAGACAAATTACTTTTCTTTCCTACACTCAATAGCAAAGTCAATTCATAGGGCAGCAGGCACAAAAGGGGAAATCTACTCAGGGCAATGGCTCAGACCAAAGCACCACGCAGATTTCTAGTGAGTGTTCTGCCTTTCCCAGGCTCTTTGCTGCTGATAAAGGAATTCATTTGGCTGAATTTACAATATCTAAGATGATCAGTGGGCTCAACCAGTGCCTTACACTTAGTTAGTGCTTTGTAAATATTAAATACTTTGATTTTTTTGTAAAAAATGCCTGATTTCCAATTGCCATAGAGATAACGAGTTCGATGAGAAGTGACTGCTCTAGGTATTTCAGATGGAAGGATTAAAGGCTTTTTAGACTTTAAAATATTTAGCAACTTGGTCAGAGAAACTAAGGTTCTTCCCTACAAATAGCCAGCTTAACACAGTGCTTAATAGCTTGAGTGTACCAGCCTCACCTCAATTCCAGCTCTGCTGCTCGCTAGTTGTACTCCAACGCCGAGCCTTAGTTAACAGCATCTCCGTCCCAGGGCTGTGTGAGAAGATAATGCGTAAAGAGGACTTGGCACTAAGTTGCTCACAGTAAGTACTCATCTCCCTCCCACTGGAAAGACGTGGTTTTCCACTTTGTTAGGTCCTAAAGTAGTTAATAAACTTCTTAGCCCAGAGAATAAACTTATTTTTGAGATTCAAATCAGCTAAAGATGATGGGTGAGGCTCTGTTTAAAAAGGTCAATTGAGTTCGTTTTTTCTTTCTAGCTTCTCCTCTATGAAGTCTTTTACAGATAGGAAACAAAACATTTACCAATAATTGCTTTTCAAGGTCCAGCAGAAATGCTCCTCCTTCCATGATCCCTTCCCTTCCTTCTAAACTGAAATTCTACACAGCTCTTATGGCCTCTGATACTCAATTGCCTGGATTGGTGTTTGTGTACGCACGCAATTATTACAAGCTCCCTGAAGGCAAGAACCACATCTCATCTCTGCATTCCCTTTAGCCTAATTCAAGGCCTCTCATACAGCAGATTCTGAACAAACAAAATGTATTTGAATGGGGAGTTAATGCTTAAGGGGCACAAAGTTTGTTTGGAGTGACACAAATTTTGGAAACAGATAGTGGTAACGATTGCACAACAACTATATTGTAAATATAGTCAATGCTGCTTAACTATACCCTAAAAATGCTATATTTGATGTTATATATATATAAGTAAGTATCTATTTAACATTGCTGGCAGCTCAGGTCACTCCAGAGGGCTTCAACTGGAAGTAACAGACCTCCAATAAAAGACCTTCTCTAGATGTCTTCAAGGACTATAATGTGTTAAGTAAACACCTGCTACATGAATGAACAGACAGCATAATCTATGAACAACGTCAAATTTGAGAAAAAGCTATCATGTTGATAACGGAGCATACTGTGCATAAACTAGACATGAACTTGTATATCTTTTTACAGATTACAGAGGCTCTTGTAAATTTTTTCTTTATTTAACCTTCAATAAAAATATAGATTTGTAATTCAACAGAAAGACAGCAGTAATAACTATTACATATGAGCAGCTCGCCAATTTCAAAATCTTTGGTCTTCAAGTCCCACGTCATAGCTTCCTCAGTCTGATTCCGTCTTCTGTAGAATTCTGAGAACTAGAGTGGTTAACTTACTCATCTCAGTGGGGATGGTCCTTTCCTGCCATTCATTCAAATCTAGAGCTCCTGATATGTGGCTCACAAATACTTCAGTCACCTACAAAAGCATCTGGAAATTAGATAATTTTGGCCATAATAAAACTTCTTTAAAGGGATATAGTCAATCCTGGTATTCACCACTAAAAGATCCTCACATACAAAATGTGGAATCCGTGCCTTATTAAAAATGGAACCTTTAAGGTTCAAAGAAAAAAAAATGCTTTCCTGAACTACATCATTTCCAGACACATCAGCCACACAAGGAGCTGACAAGACCTGCTGTTTCCATTACAGAGAACATGAGACTTTAAAACCACACCAATGAATGAAAGAAAATGGTGGGAGCTTTTCTACTATGCAGACAATTCTACATAGCACTCTCTGCCCAGACTGGGAGACAGACATAACACTCCCTCCTGAACTGGATCCCTGCCACCTTTGCAAAGGCCACCGGACAAGTCTCTTAAATGCTGCATTTCAACTCTTGATTATTGTGCCCTGGGGATCCCTTCTCTTTAGGTTCTTTGTCATGGTCTGGGGAGATACTCTGACTTTCCATGGTGCTGACAGCATCTGAATCCAATCTTCTTCTTTTCTTCAGTTGGTTCAAGTGGGATTTGGATTTTATATGCGCTGATAAGATAAAACCAAACAAACAGAAAAAAACTCATTAGAATTTTCTAGAATTAATCCTAGAAGCAAGTAAAAGTAACTATACAATGCTTTTCTTCAACAATAAATAGCAGGATCAACATATAGCTGCTTAGCATTTTTGAGGGAAGAATACATTATACGGCCAGTGAGCTAGCAAAATAAAGCTACCACATATCAAGTGCTCCCTGCTAGGTACTTTACATCACTAATCCTCATGGCAGTCTTGTAAGATGGTACTATTCTGCCCATTTTATACAAGGGAAACTGAAGTTCAGAGAGGTCTTACAAAATGTCCAAGGTCACACAGCAGGTAAACTCTTCTACTTAGATAGCTTCAAAAAGAGATCCCACTTTCCAGAATCAGGTCTTTGCAGTATAGGGCTTCCTGCTACAAATGCATTTAACTTGTAAGGCTGAAAAGTTAGAAATTCAAATCCTAATCTGTACTGCAGGGCATTGCCTATTGTCCTTCCTGGTCTGACATCCCTGTGCCTGGGTCAAAAAGGTCATGTGAGGCCGGGCACAGTGGCTCAAGCCTGTAATCCCAGGACTTTGGGAGGCCGAGACGGGTGGATCACGAGGTCAAGAGATCAAGACCATCCTGGTCAACATGGTGAAACCCCGTCTCTACTAAAGATACAAAAAAAATTAGCTGAGCGTGGTGGCGCATGCCTGTAGTCCCAGATACTCGGGAGGCTGAAGCAGGAGAATTGCCTGAACCCAGGAGGCGGAGGTTGCAGTGAGCCGAGATCACGCCATTGCACTCCAGCCTGGGTAACAAGAGTGAAACTCCGTCTCAAAAAAAAAAAAAGAAAAGAAAAAAAGGTCATATGAATGACTCTGGCAAGATTACTATTCTCTAGGCACACACTGCTCCAGGGAGGCAGGAAGGTGCATTTATCAAAGACAATCTCTTGTGAAGGTCCACAGAAGAAATAAAACTAAAGGCCACTGTTGCCTGCTATCAAGTCCTGACCTGTCACCCCTAAGACAGTTCCCACCTTCTGACTGACTCATACAGGTTTATTTTCACTATCTGGTTCTTTTTTCAAGGAAATCTCGTCTGGGAACTGAAAGAGATAGACAACTAGTTTAAATTCTCTTTTATGTATATTTAAAACAGCATTTTTAAGAGTTTAGAAGCAATAATAAGTAAGGTAGAGGTTAGAAGTAAAAGAAAAGTTTACTTGGGGAAAGAAGTCAGCTTTGTTCTCCAGCTAAAGCCTAAGGCAAAAAATGGGCTTCTGGGCTGGCTCTCCATGGCAGCAGGAGATGGGAGCAAGGACTTGACAGATGGCACTACAGAAGGGCTTACACAAGCTAAGCTCACAAAGGCTCACAAATGCTGCTTCTCTAAGGCTATCCCTGAAGGACATTCAACAAATCGAACCACTAAGTTTCCTTTAGAAAAAAACAATCAGACACTCTCTTTCTCTTCTCCTTTCATCATTATAAACCAACAACAATGGAGGCTTCTTCTGCTGGTTGGGCAATCACAGCCGTCCCCAGTCTCTGACAACGGAGTTCATTTTGCCAGTTACCAGTTAATAGACCTAATCATTCTACTGGCTGCTTTGGGGAGAAAAATCTACTTCTCTGAGAATCCCATGCAAAACAGTACTCTGAACAGAAGGATCCCAGCCGCTGGGTAAATGACAAGCCCCACTGTGCCTGAAAGGAGCAAGCCTTACACCTGTTCCTAAATACATTAAACTCAAGGCTTGAGGATGAAGTCCTGGGCTTTGACTGGATGACTATAGAAATCTGAAAATCCAACAATGTGAGGGCAATGCGACTCTGTGGCAGAGGCAGATCCAGGCTCTAATGCAGGGATACAGAGCCTTAGGGTGGGGCTGGCCCTGAGGTGGTGGGGAACCAACCTTCTTTATACATGTGTGACAGGCTTGCTTTCACACAATTTCCCTTCACATCTTTTCATCACAGTTTTAGCAACTATCACTATGTCAACAATTACTTCAAAAGTTACTGAAGAGATATCACTTTTAAAAAATACTCTCAGGAGTAGTAACTGTATATCCTGCCCCCACCTGGCTATGCTCTGCTTCTTCCAGTCTACTGGATGAGCTTATCCTGGCTTCCCTTAGACCCTTACTTCCTAATCTCACACCCGCTTAGTTATAAACATGAAACAATTCCAGCTGAAGATGGAGAGCATTTGATCTTCCTTTGAATCTCAAAATACAGAGACAACTCCCCAGTTGGGGAAAACCTCCAAGGAATTTGAGTGTAGGCTCTTAGAGGAATCTAGCTGCCCTTTTATAAACAGACTGCAGGTTCAATCTACCAAAGGCCTTAAATTTCATGAAGTCAATGTGAACCCACCGTTATAGATTTCTTCATGCCTGGAGCTCCCCATACCTTACCTGCCCATTCCCGATCCCCAATGATGATTCGATCACAGATGTTACACATGTGATAACTTCTCTTGTTCTCAGCTTCATTGTAAGGCATCTTTATTGGAGCGGCTGTAGGCTTGTGGCCCTAAAAGATAAGGGTGGAAGGAGTATTCAATTCAAAGAAATCTGGATATAATTCTCTATTAAGGGAAGTAGGATTTTCCTAAGATTTATTTTTTTCACCCCAGAGAGCAGATTGGCTGTATACAGATTTTAGAAACAACCTTTCTAAATGTAAAAGTAGAAAAGCAGTCTCTAGTCTCTATTGAAAACCAGCCAGCTCTTCTGCTTTATTCTATGGAAAAGAAGGCCTGGTTCTTCAATATAGCAACAAAGGTGTCAGCTAGCGAAAGTGCTCTGAAAGCCAGAAAAACGACTGTATCATGATTCACAATTACCTGGATGAAACTTTGCACGATTTCAAGAGCAGGTTCGAGAACAGACTCTTCCCACTTCGAGACATCAGATACCTCTAAGCCATAGACAGGGGGGACACTGGGACCGGGTCCTGATTATGACAAAGACAGGTTGTGAGAGATTAGCTTCTAAGACCCAATCTAATCTGCACCCAGGACTCTGAGATCCTCCAGGGAAATACACGGAGCCAAAGGAGTAAACATTTTGACCATGCTATTCATTCTAGCCAAATATGAACCACAATCCAGGAAAGACCTAGAGGTTTAACTGCTCTGCAGCCAATAAGACTAGCTACATAATCTGAATACATGGGTGCAGGATCTTCCAAATCAGCTAGGAAACCAGAATAGTGTGGGCTACAACACAAAAACAGCACATCATAAGAATAAATAAACTAACAGCTTTAAACAGGGGCCTATTTTAAGTTCCAAATCATCTTACAATTATGGCGATCCTCAAAGCAAGAGAATTCACAGCTTTCTTCAGGAGCAGATACTAGTCTTGGGTTTGGATATACTGCCTCAGCCGCCTGGGACTCATGAAATTCCTTGACAGCATGGGCTGGAATTACATCAGCCAATAAGCCGCAGAATCTGCGAACTAGAAATAAGCCTTGGAATTGATATAGTTGAGTAACTTCTTTTAAAGACCTGATCTAGAGGGTATTCAAGACCCCCTGATAGACACTTTTGAATGAAGATGAGACTAAAAGTAGCAAAGAGTATAGCTACAGGTATTTCACCCACCTGAGCCAATCATGTTGCAAGAGTTTAGTCTCCGTGGTTAGCTTCTCAGCCTATGAACACACTCAACTGCCTTCCACAGCTAGGTTAAGTCAGTTGCCTAAAGGCAAAGACATCCACCATGGACAAAAACATCAAAGGCCTTGGGATGCCAGCGACTGGCAGGTGCTGGCCTTTTGATTGTGCCAACCACAAATAAGATTCTTCATAAACTGGACTGGGCTGCACCTGCCACCACACGGAAAGGTGAGACTAGGAGGGTGCAGGCAGCATCCACAGCACACCTGGCCTTGGCTAAGCTCTGCACCTGTTTCCAGGCCACTCTACATTTTCCTTTCTCCTCTAAGCCCTTTGTTGGGTTTCTGTGCCCTGTCTAAGCACCTTTCAACAAGTTCTCGGCTCCCAGCTGCTATTTCTGGCTTGGGTCCAAGGCCAAGCTGGGGTGGGGAAGTCCTCCTGGCTTCCTGCCAGAACCATATCCCAGCAGACCAGCACTGGCCAATCATGCACCGCTCCTGATTTACAAGGCAGCTGTGCCTTTCACTCAAGCACCAGGACGATACTGGCATACACACGAATGAGGAACAGGCATATGACATACTGTGCCATCAACTCCTCCTGCCTCAGAGATGGAGGAATTGTTGTGGTTTTACTGCAGGAAGAAGTTCTAAATTATTTCCAAAAGTCTTCCGTTACAGGCTTATTGTCAGACATGGGGAGAAGAGAAGCTCCATTAGAAATTTGTAGAACAATAGTGAGCTTCAACTTCAGATGACACTAAGACTTCTATCTACCAGGACATGCAGAGAAAGCAGGATAGGCAGAAGAAAGCTTTACAAGCCTCTTCATACCACAACCACACTGGAGAGCTCAGGCAGAGAAGAGAGCAGAAGCTGGGAGAGGGAATGTCAGCAGTTTAGTGGTCAACAGCAAGGATCAAGTTATGTATTTTCAGAGGCACTGAGGGGGGCAGAGGCTTCAGCTGGCCCTTTCTGTAATTGAGAGCAGAAGTCTACCGGCAAAAGGTAAACATAGGATGATTCAGAAGCATATTTAAAACACGTCCACAAGATAAAACTGAAGCTTCACTTATGCTTAACCTCCTTTAGCTCATAATCACATAGTTTTTGACCCACAGTCCAATACTAATGGTGTCTTGCTAAAGTTACAGCTAAAGGAAACAAGAGTAGTAGTATAAAGCAGGGCGCGCACTCAGTGTCAGGCCTGCCTTCAGTTATCTACTGCCGACTAGCTGAGTCATTTTTGGCAAGTTATTTTAACTTCGATAGGCCTTCATTTTCTTATCTGTAAAAGGAAAAGAATAACACCTACCTGGAAGATTCAATAATATACATCTAGCATCAAATTTAGTGCCAAAGGCATAGTACAGGGTCAAATGAATGAGAATTTCCTTTCGTTTCCCTTAAAAATGCTATTCAGCTAAAGTTTCATTTGAAGCAATCTGAAGCACAATGTGGAGACACTGGGAGAGATGGTGAAGGTATCTTTTTATACTATTCATCTGGCCCCCAAAAAAACATTGTAATTAGGAAATCCTCCCTACAGAAATCTGACTGCTCTTCAGGTACAAAACTGAAGCTAAAAATTGACCCTGAACACCAACTCTCCTAAGGAGATGCTGCTGTTGTTCTTAGCTGTTTGCAGCCAGTATCCATCTGTTCAAGGCAGAAGGCAGACTCCTCAATGCAAACAATTTTGTTTTTCTGAGATATCACAAGAAAATATCCCTGGATAATCATTTATGTTATAGAACTTCCCCTAGGTCAGATCCAAAATCTTAGAACAGGCCCAGAAACTAAGAGTGAGCTGAGGAATCTATATTCTATTGAAAACAGACCCATAGGATAAGGAAAAACATGAGACTTACTGCTCAGAAAACGGTTTTTAACCCATCGGTTTTGCTTCCGGGCATATCTCTTGGTTACTTGTTTCAGAGCCTCAATACCTGAAAGGATACAATAGATTTAAGAACATCTCGGTAAGCACTCCTTACCCTGCAGACAGGCAGGCCCTCCCAGCCCAAGAGGAGAAAATAAGCCATGGCAGTAAAATGTCAGACTTGGTGACGAAAAATCTCAATTCTGAACTGAAAGCTATTTGGGATGCTTTGAGCCTTGGCTCTTTCTCAGACCATACCATAGAGTACCCTGTCACCCAAAGATGTCCAAGACTAGGTTAGACGGAAGAATTCACACCTTTCTTTAGAAGCTGGTTACTAGTCTCCAGTGTGCATTTTCCCTCAGTGATCAGGTACTCGTGAAATTCCTTGAAGCCAATTGATTGGAAGATACCATGTTGATAGTCCTGGCTGGGAACAGGAGGGCATCAGCAGATGAGCCATTGCTCCTAAAAGCTAGCAGGGGCTTTGGAGATGGACCTAGTTGAATCATTTCATCTGTCAGATAAGGAAATTGAGATCCTGAGCAGTTACAGATTCTCTGAAATTCTCCCCTCCCCTGCCCACCAGGTTACTTCATTGAAAAGTTAACTCCTGGCAATGCCTGAAAGATTAAAAAACTGCATCTGTAACAAAGACTGATAAACCAGTAGACCCAAAGCCAGTATTAGTGTTATGGTCTTTTGACTGTAGGCAAAAGATGGATAAAAGGTCAGAACAGCCAAATCCTCACCTATTTTCCGAGACATTCTCCTGATTATAGCGTCTGTGAAAATCTCTTAGTTCCTCCAAGAGCCCAGCAGCAAGCATGTCATCCACCCTCTTATCCAAGCGCTCATCTAGAACTTGAATCAAATTAGCCCATCAACCAGCAAGCAAGTTGTAGGTATATACTTACATGACAAGTGAACAGGCAGTCACAAAAGAAGATAATTTGTCCAAATGGAAGAAAGAATTCAGATTCCAAAGATTATGTAATAATTCATACTTTATTTACTTACGCTTATGACTTTGCAACTCCAAATAATAACAGCCACGATGAAGCACATGCCTTGTCATTATATACAGAAAGCTATGTAATTATAAAATTACAGCTATTGGCAGGGCATGGTGGCTCATGCCTGTAATCCCAGCACTTTGGGAGGCCGAGGCGGGTGGATCACAAGGTCAAGAGATCAAGACCATCCTGGTCAACATGGTGAAACACTGTCTCTACTAAAAATACAAAAAATTAGCTGGGCGTGGTGGCGTGTACCTGTAATTCCAGCTATTCAGGAGGCTGAGGCAGGAGAATTGCCTGAACCCAGGAGGCGGACGTTGCGGTGAGCCGAGATCACGCCATTGCACTCCAGCCTGGGTAACAAAAGCGAAACTCCGTCTCAAAAAAAAAAAAAAAAATTACAGCTATTGTGAAGGACAAATATTTTATTCTCATATGGAATGTATATATCAATGTGTTTTAGAGGTGGCTGAGGACCCCCTGGTTTACCGTTCTTATTTTTAATTTAATGTGCCATTATACTGTAACTTAGTGTTACTTACGTTTGAGAACCTCTAGATGACACCTTGGATAGGAACATGGAACTTTAATCCAAAGACATCCTAGATACATTCTAAGCTACTGAGCCAAGCAAAGGAGCAAAGAGTGAAAGGTTGTAATTGCCCAGATGGGACAGTTTTATTATGAATCAGATACCATTATTTTATGCTGAACTGTAGAGTATAAGTTTTTATTTACAAAATTTAATTATTGAAAAATTAACTTTTTCTAATAATTTATGGCAGATTAATTTAACAATACATTGTCACCATTTTTTTTCATTGTCACCATTTTAATTATGTTCTTCTACATCTCTACCATTGCGATTTCTTGGCCTACAGAAACAGTAACCTTCCTAGAAAGTTTGCATTTATTCTGGATTCATCATGTATCAACCACATGCTGAGCACTGTATATGTAATAATTCATTTAATCCTTAATGGAGCTATGAAATATATACTATTATTATCTCCATTTTACAGGAGAATTGGGACACAGAAAGGTAAACTAACTTGTCTTAATGATTCACATAACTAGAAGCTAGTGGAGCAGGAATGTGCTATCAGACAGTCTGCCTCAAGAGCCTCTGCTCTTCAGTGCTATACTCCACTGTTTGTCCACATAATAATGTCATCTTTCTAGGCCTATCATAGGCTATCTTTGCAAACTGGTCTCTGACTCCCCCCAGAGAATGTTTGTCATCCTTACTCTGTGGCCCTACAGCACTCTGAAAATATCTCTAGCCCAGCATTTATCACATAAATAATATACAGACAGATAGAATCTATCTCCTTGTCTGTTGTCCCACTAGACTGGGAATTCTTTAAGAAAAGGCACTGTCTTTTCAATTCTGAAACCCAAGTACAACACAGAATACCCAGCACTTCACTGAATGCTTACTGAATGTTTGCTGGATGAATAAGTTACAGGCATAATTATACTTTAGCAACAAAACACCATCAAGCCAGCAAGCTAATTATAAGGCATACTGTTTCTAGAACATTCTAGCCTCCAGCCAACCTTCCACAAGAGACTTCCTTCTTTTTCTCCTTTGGATCTTCCCTGGATGGCAGTCTCTTTCCCATTCCATCCATCCCATCCCACTCTACCCATGATGTCTTATCCTAGTGCCATGGCTACACTTCCTCCTTTTCGAAACAGATATCTAGGGGAATGGTACTGTGCCTACGGCAACAAATAATAATGATAATGATAATAAAATTAATAGCTAACACTTGTTTAGTGTTTATTATGAGCCACCCAAGGTTCTAAGCATTTTATATATATAGTAACTTATTACTCTAAGTTCCATCATGGATGGACTCTAGGGCATCAAAGGGCTGTTACCTGCCTGGTCAGCATGAAGCCAGAGGATGCAAGGGTTAGAGAACTTAAGAGGACCTCCAAGGGGACCACCACCTTCTTCTGCATGTTGACGATGGAGAAATTCACTATGAGAGATTCCTGTTTCTTCAAAAATTTGCAAGCTCCTAAGTAATTTAAAAGGGGACAGAGGGAGCATACCCATAAAAACCATTAGAAAATATTCATTCTCAAGTAAAACAAGAAGAAAGGCTGTTTATTACAGAAAGCCTCATTCTTGAAAGCCAGGCATGACAGTGTGCACGCCTGTAGTACCAGCTACTTAAGAGGTAAAAGTGAGAGGACTGCTTGAGCGTAGGAGTTCAAGACCAACCTGAGCAACAACAGAGAGACCCTGTCTCTTCAAAAAGCGGGGAATGCAGAAAGGCTTATTCTCATTTTCACTGCATTAAGTCCCAAAAGACATGAAGGCCTAGGGTTACCCTGGTCCTACAGCTACTCAGAATAGGGTACTAAAGAAAACTTTAGGTAAAGTAAGAAATAATACTGTTTCTCTAAAGATACATAAACTTTTCTGAAACCAGTTAAATAGGTTCAGAAACAGGTTTCTTCTATAAAACAGAATGGTACTCACTCACTTTCAGATAAACAGTAAAAGAGCTTGTTTGGGACACTTTGTTACAAGCCAACAAGTCTGGTCTTGCTGGCATGCCGTTCCCACAGTACAAAAGCATGTTGTACATCCAGCTCATCAGCTTTCTTTTTAAATATGTCAAATTAATGAAGAATGCTCCTGGCTAATCCAGTGCTCTACTGGCACAAAGATCACTGAGAAAAGAACTCACATACTTATTCTTAAGCCACCATCCACTTCTGTCCGTATCTATTATGTTATGCGGCACAGGTAATTTAACTCCCAAATCTATACTCTACCACTCTGGGTGATTGCAACTTATCAGCCTGAAAGTGATCTTACCCTTCCTGACCCAATTCTACTTCCTGAAACCCTAACACAAGAGTGTAGACCCCTTGTCTTTCAGTATCACTGGTCTCTCAAAGAAGATCTATGAGAAAAAAATGTAGTAACAGATACCTCACTTATCTGGAGTTAAAATACAGCCTCAAGCCAAAAGAAAGATTAAAAAAAAAAGTCCTCATTCTCTAAAGGAGACTCTAGAGCTCTTGCTTAGAACCTATTGACTCTTACTAAAAAAAAAAAAAATTATCAAACTACTCATTTAGAAGCAGCAAAATGAGGAGAGGTGACAGGAAAGAACTGATTAGTAAAAGGAGAGAATAATAAACAAGTTCTAGAAGCATGTAATAAACAATATAAAAATGAATGTTCATCATAATGTTCCTAAGTTTAAAAAAAATTGAATGTTTTCTATTAAAGTGTTTAAAATGTTTGGATACTGAAAATAAACTTCATTAATCTAAAATATGCATTCATTTTTCCTTTTTTTTTTTTATTTTGAAACAGAGTCCTGCTCTGTTGCCCAAGCTGGAGTGCAGTGGTGCAACCTTGGCTCACTGCAACCTCTGCCTCCTGGATTCAAGCAATTCTGCCTCACTCAGCCTCCTGAGTAGCTGAGACTACAGGTGCATGCCACCATGCCTGGCTAATTTTTTGTATTTTAGTAGAGACTGTGTTGCCTAAGCTGGTCTCAAACTCCTGAGCTCAGGCAATCTGTCCACCTCGGCCTCCCAAAGTGTTGGGATTACAGGTGTGAGCCACTGTGCCTGGCCCAAAACTTGCATTCTTAATGGGGTTATATTGCTTTTAAGGGGGTGAGAAAACTTAGATATTACAATTTGTGCCCCCTCTGCCCCGCCCAAAGGACAACCCTACCTGAAGAAATCCTTTTCTTGGCTGAGTACTATGGCTCATGACTATAATCCCAGCACTTTGGTAGGTTGAGGCAGGAGGATCGCTTGAGCCTGGGAGTTTGGGACTAGCCTGGGCAACATAGCAAAACATCTCTACAGACAATTAAAAATTTTAAAAACTAGCCAGGTGTGGTAGTACACACCTGTAGTCCCAACTACTCAGGAGCCTGAGGCAGGAGGACACCTGAGCCCAGGAGGTCAAGGCTGCAGTGAGCCATGATCGTGTCACTGCACTCCAGCCTAGGAAACAAAGTAAGACTCTAGCAAAAAAATAAAAAGTAATAATAATAATGAATGTTTTAAATCCTATATTCTAACATTATATTTCATTCGGGGGATAAAATTAGGAGGAAAAATATCATATTCATTTGAGTGGAATACTTCACAATGCCTATGAATATGAGATGTTACTTTAATATTTAATCAGTAGGTCCTTCATTAGATGTTCTACTATGCCAGAAGTGGTATCACTCCCAATACTGCAGAAAAATAAACCTAACATGAGGCTGCAATTTCAAAACAACCTAAAAAAACATGACCCTTGTGAGTTCATTCACTACCTCTCTTCCCTACAAGACAGTTTCCATGTGCAAAGGTGAGCTGATCTATGAGACAGTTTACAAAATCCACCTCCCACTGGGAAAGCTGCTGGGGCAGAACACAGCATTGCACAATTATGAAACCCAAATCGCAATGTAAACAAACTGCATGCCAGAAAAAAATGTATATGAAAACTGTTATACAAGCAAAGATCAAATAGAAAATGAAGCAATATTATATAGGCCCTAGGGGAAAACGATATTGTACTATGCATTTAAAATGTAACAAAGTAGGGTGCAATTATTTATTGAGGGAGTTGAACTGAGGCAGTAACTCAGGGCCTTCCAACCTGCTGAGCTAGTACACATCACCAGTCTCCACTAACTGCTATTACCAAATCTCTCTCATCACCTGGGCAAACCGAAGAACTGACTGCGCCCTAGTTGTAAAGGAATTTGGGGTCAGCGGGCCAAGCTTTCTTACCTGGCCACTTTGCGTTTGTCATGTGGATGCAGCTTGGCGGCCATTTCTGGGTCCACTTGGCTTAGGCGTTTGTGAAGTACAAGACCATCCTCCTTTTCAAGCTCCACTTTACGGTCAATCACTTCCTCAGTGCCCATCTCCTGCGGCTATTAAATGATGGTTTAGAGGTAAATTGAATTCAACCAACACTGAGACAGTGTATGTGCCAGGCACTTTGCTAAGTGTCAGGAATACAGAGTAATCAGAAGATCTTGCCATATAGTGAGAGACAGATCATAAACAGAAAATTCCAATATGCTGTGGTAAGTGTTGTTAAGGCCACAGCAAACAAAGAGGAAAGAAGACTTGCAGCATAGGGAAATAGATACTTTGCTTCCTTGTCAGAAGTTCAAACAGGTACCAGGGCTAATGTATCTATTTTAACATATCCAGGAGTCTAGTCTTCTCAGCAAGGGTGACCAGAGAGACCAGGATTGCCAGCAAATTAGAGTTTACACAGTCTTACCCTACACAGTAGCACCTACGCAAGTAAGGTCAGTGCTGGACATCTCCCTGACATACATACTGTGCTGCCAGTCAGGAAATATTGAATCAGGCTAATGCATTGGGCTTTTTTCCTTTAAAAGTTTATTTAAATATATATATTTTTCTTCATTTCCGGTAATGGCTATAAGCAATATTTTAATATTTTTAAAGTAAAGAATTATACATATTTGGCTGTTATTGATTAAATATTAAAGTAACATCTCATATTCACAGGCATTGTGAAGTATTCCACTCAAATGAATATGGTATTTTTCCTCCTAATTTTATCCCCCGAATGAAATATAATGTTAGAATATAGGATTTAAAACATTCATTATTATTATTACTTTTTTTTTTTTTGCTAGAGTCTTACTTTGTTTCCTAGGCTGGAGTGCAGTGACACGATCATGGCTCACTGCAGCCAAAATATGTATAATATTGCTTCATTTTCTATTTGATCTTTGCTTGTATAACAGTTTTCATATACATTTTTTTCTGGCATGCAGTTTGTTTACATTGCGATTTGGGTTTCATAATTGTGCAATGCTGTGTTCTGCCCCAGATATTTTTGAATTATACATATCTCAGCACTTTGGGAGGCTGAGGTGGGTGGATCATGAGGTCAAAAGATCAAGACCATCCTGGCAAACATGGTGAAATCCTGTCTCTACTAAAAATACAAAAATTAGCTGGGTGTGGTGGTGCTCACCTGTAGTCCTAGCTACTTGGGAGGCTGAGGCAGGAGAACCACTTGAACTCACGAGGTGGAGCTTGCAGTGGGCTTAGATCACGTCACTGCACTCCAGCCTGGTGAAAGAGCAAGACTCTGTCTCAAAACAACAAAAAAAATTATACATATTTTTTTCTTGAATTGCATCTCTTTTTTTTTTTTTTTTTGAGACAGGGTCTTACCCTATTGTCCAGGCTGGAGTGCAATGGCGTGATCTTGGCTAACTGTGCAACCTCTACCTCCTGGGTTTAAGTGATCCTCCCGCCTCAGCCTCCTTAGTAGCAGCTGGGATTGTAGGCATGTACCACCACATGTACAACCACACCCAGCTAATTTTTGTATTTTTAGTAGAGACAGGGTTTCACCATGTTGGCCAGGCTGGTCTCAAAATCCTGACCTTGGCCTCCCAAAGTGCTGGTATTACAGGCATCAGCCACCTCCTAATATACTATTAATTTATAAGGAGATGCTAATTAATTTACACAATATTTTTCCCACACAAAGCCCCTGGCCATAGGCCAGCCTAAATGAACACATTTCACATATGGAGGTGGCATTTGTTTGAGAATATTAAGCAGGAAAATTATAGTTGCTGAGTATAAGATATGGGCAAGAGCCAATCTTCCTCCTACTAAAATTAGCCAGCAAGAAAGAACAACCCATTTCCTCAGTAAGTTGCAAGTGAACTAAACTTACCTTGGTATTGATAAGAACTTTCCAGAGCAGAGATTCAATGTAATAATTGGTTCCTCCCACAACAATAGGAATTTTGTCTCGGGCAAATATATCTTCAATGTGAACATTAAGAAAGACATTACGGTATTTAATATTAAGAGAATCTGACTCACTTGGGAAGGACACTATAGCAAGAGACCACATTAATTTATCTGAAGAGCAGAGGAGAAAGTGTGGACAACAAAATGTGTTAATACCAGCCTTCAATGTTTCCAACAAATTTCCAGAATCATGTCCAATCAGTTCTGGAGAGACTTGCAGAAACCAGAGACAAATGCAGTGGTAATTTCTTCCAGTTCTAGAACTTTCTAGGTCTTGCTGCTAAAAGTCAAAGTTTTATTAGTATTCCAAATCAGTTCAACAAGCAGAAGCCCAAGGACTCTCACAGAACCAAGTGTCAGCTGCTCAGGAGGCCACCATCGTGGCATCCATTTCGTGACTTTGCCTTCTAAGGCAAAACACAAGCTGATTTCTTTAAGATTCTTAGACTCAATCAGTCTCTACCATCATGGAGAGACTATCAGATTTTTGCCACTTGAGGCTTCACCAAATTAAGTGAGAAGAACAGGTTGTGAAGATAAATAGACTTCAGTTATCAGGTTCAGCTCTTAGGCAAGTTATTCACCCTGTCTGAGCTTCAGTTTTCTCACTGTAAAAATCCCCATGCGTTCCTATGAGCATTAAATGTGACAGTGCATAGAACTCCCCTACCACAATGCCTAAAAAACAGTAAGCACTCAATTTACTTTAGCCACTATTTTTTCTTATCTCTGCTACTTTAAAATCTTTCTCTTCAGAATCTCCATTGAACAGATAATTATCTGCTTTAAGAAGGCCTTTTTTCCTGGGAATAAATTTTTTTTTTTTGAGACAGGGTCTCACTCTGTCACCAAGGTTGGGGTGCAGTGGCATGAAAACAGTTCACTACAGCCTCGACCTCCCAGGGCTCGAGCCATCCTCCCACCTCAGCTCCCTACCACCAAGTAGCTGGCACTACAAGCACATGCCACCACACCTAGCTACTTTTTGTATTTTTTGTAAAGGCAGGGTTTCACCATGTTGCACAGGCTGATCTCAAACTCCTGAGCTCAAGCAATCCGCCCACTGCAGCCTCCCAAAGTGCTGAGGTCATAGGCATGAGTCACTGTGCGTGGCTGAAAGTAATTTTTTTAAAAAGACTTTTAATATCCAGCTACTCAGGAGGCTGAGGCAGGAGAACTGTCTAAACCCAGGAGGCAGAGGTTGCAGTGAGCCGAGATCACATCATTGTACTCCAGCCTGGGTAACAAGAGCAAAAACTCCATCTCAAAAAAAAAAATCCAGGTAAATCATCATTTACACACTTCTTGCCAGCCAATCTACAGGCACATAGAGACAGACCAGCTCTTTTCTACTAGAATCCCACTAACCGTTAAGTGGGTGAGGTAGGATGGGAAGAAAGATCCTTGGACCAATCAAGGATCATAAAGAAAAAAAATCTTTATTTGTTTTAAAAACAGAAAACAAATTATTTATTTCCCCCTTTAAATTAAGTATAGGGAGCATACAATTTGCACAGCAAGATAAAACATCAATTATATACAGGTTAAATATCCCTTACATGGGACCAAGGAAATGTTTCAGATTTTGAATTTTTTTGAATTTTGAATTATTTGCATTATGCTTACTGGTTGAGCATCCCAAATCTGAAAATCTGAAAACCAAAATGCTCCAATGAGCATTTCCTTAGAGCATCATGTCAGCACTCCAAGTTTCAGATTTTGGAGCATTTTGGATTTTATATTTTCAGATGCTCAAACTGTAGTATAATTAACAAAGGGAAAGTAAGCAAGGAAATGAAAAGGGGAAGAAAAAAATGGTAAGATTCCAGAAAAGGAGAGAGTGGAAATAAAATGGAATAGGAAATACTTCACAGGGAAAGGTTTAACTTATTTGTGCAAGCCATGAAATGACTGTGATATTGAGCAAATATCCTTCTCCCCTTTGGGCCTCAGTATCTAGTACCTTCACCTGTCAAATCAAGAAGGCTAATTGGGGCCAGGTGTGCTGGCTCACACTTGTAATTCCAGCACTTTGGGAGGCCAAGGTGGGATGATGACTTGAGCCCAGGAGTTCAAGACCAGCCTGGTAACATAGCAAAATCCATCTCTTCAGAAAATAAAATTATTAGCTGGGTGTGGTAGTACACACCTGTAGTCCCAGATATTTGAAAGGCTGAGGTGGGAGGATCACCTGAGCCCAGGGGTCAAGGCGGCAACTAGCCATGACAGTGCCACTGCACTCCAACCGAGGCAGCAGAGTGAGACCATCTCCAGAAAAAAAAAATTACACACTTTCATTTGAATCTGTATATAGGTTTTTTATTCTGTAAAACAAATATATCTAGTACTAAATAAGTTCCATGCTAGGCCGGGCATGGTGGCTCATGCCTGTAATCCCAGCACTTTGGGAGGCCACGGTGGGTGGATCCCCTGAGGTCAGGAGTTTGAGACTAGCCTGACCAACATGGTGAAACCCATCTCTACTAAAAATACAAAACTAGCCAGGTGTGGTGGTGTGTGCCTGTAGTCTCAGCTACTCGGGAGACTGAGGCAGGAGAATTGCTTGAAGGAGGTGGAGGCAGCAGTGAGCCGAGATTGTGCCACTGCACTCCAGCTTGGCTGACAAGAGTGAAACTCTGTCTCCAAAAAAAAAAAAAAGGTTCCATCCTATTATAATTATTATGACTTTTCAATATTTTAATATATAGCAATCCAGATACTAAAGGCAGTCTGCATGTTAACACATAGGGCAATCCCACTTGTATTATTATTTTTGCAAAAACTTCTTGGTTTCACCCAGAACCATATTTTTCAGTCCTCTCCCATCTAACAATCCCTTTCAAATTCTAACTATAACTCCATTATATTTAGATAAACTTCGTTTCTCCATTTAAAGGATAGAAAACCGAAGCTCAGTGGGGTTAAGGAAATGCTTTACCCAATAAAATTCACACGGCCAAAAAAGGCAGTTCTAGCACTACAACCCAAAATTTCTGATTCTTAAATTAGTATTCTTATCACTAAAACAGTGCTTCTCAAATTTTCATGTGTGTTATGAATCACCAGGGACTCCTGTTATAATGCAGATTCGAATTCAGTAGGTCTGGAGTGGGGCCCAAGAATCAGCATTTCTAACAGGTTTCCAGAGGATGATGATGCCACTCAGTGTAAGGACAAGAATCTGAGTGACAAAGGCACTATATCTTTCAGCTCAGTCTGATGGGGATGGCATCCATCAGTAGTTAGGCCTTGGGTGCCCCCCTTCTGAGAAGAAACTGCTGCTACCGAGAAGAATTGTCTCTTGGCTTGGGCTGCTTTCACCCACGAAACCCAGCCAGTGCCTTTCCTAAGGATATCAGAGCAGTTGCTCTATTTCTGAAGTCCACCACGGTGTAATTGGTCACAAGAGGATCCACAAAGCTGATCATGTGGTGCCGGCAGATTCTCTGCTCTCGGGCAGAAACCTTGTTGGTGATGATGTCTAGGCCTTCATAGACCTAAAGGAAAGAAAATTAACATGAGAAAGTCAACCACCTCCATAAAATGCATACTTATGGATAGAAATTTTGATCTGTTTCTCCCTCCTGCCAAACACTTCACTGACCCAAAGCACCAGGGTACATGTATTCTAACAGAGAGCACAGCCAGATTTACAAAACCCGAAACAAAGAAAGAAGAAAACAGAGCACTGGTTTTCTTATCAAATAGCAGCTATCAGCTCAGTTTTAAAGGTAAGAAGGGATGAAAATCCATGCCCAAGTAAAAACTAATTCTGCAAGATTAAAAGGAGGTCCTTTAGGCCAGAACTTTAAAGCATTGAAAATTGGGCAGGTTGTTTTATTTATTTTACTTATCACAAGACTCCAGAAAGGTAACATTTTGCATTGATTGTTCAGTTCTACTTCAAAATGCTTAGATATTTCTTGGATTTAAATGGCTCTAAAAGGTTTTCAGAATTTGTATAAGATTGGTTCCATTTGTGGAAAAGTAGTCTAACTACAAAAATACACATAAAACATACACATACACACTTTGAAGTCAGAACCCCTAATACTGCTGTACTCTAGTAGAAACATTGTGATCTATCAAAATTACTGCTTCAGGGGTCAGCAAGGACAATATAAATACTCAAAGGCAATATCCTGTCTGTGAGCTCTTGATCTGCCAATTCGACTAAAAAGTTCAAGTGTACTTTTTCTAAATGCAAGGTCTCCAAGAACAGATCTGAAAATACTAGTTTGAAAATAGGGATGAATACTTTGAGATTAAATGTTCTCTCTGTAATCACTGATTCCACAGGGAGCACTGAATGAACAAATAATAAGTTCCGTAGAACCCACAAAGATGTTAAAAGCATTTTTATCTCACGTTTCCCTTTACTTACATGGGTGTCAAATAAGTACAGTCCAGTGTAATGGTTAGGAGGAAAGACCCTGGCGCCAGGCTGCCTCAGCTCATTTCCTAGCTCTGCCACTTACTAGTTATTTGTAGTTGGAGAAGGCAGTTACTAACCTCTCCTGGGCCTCAATCCCTCGTCAGTAAAGGAAAATAATAATACCTATCTCCTTGGATTATTGTGAGGATTAAATGAGTTACTACTAAAAAGCACTTAGTATTTTCCTGGCACATTGTTAAGTGGCACATAAGGGTCGGTACTACCTAATTACTATCATTATCATTACTACTATCACAATAGCTAAAGGAGAAGGGGAAATAATTTTAGTGTTACTGTTTTATACTCAGAAGCCTCTATGCTCTTAACGACTGAGGTCATTTACCAAGCAAGGATATAAGCTATGTTTAATGAAATAAAATCAGTAAATAGTAAAACAGCATAAAAATAAAAAATAATGTAAATAGAGCCATAGGGAAAGTATCAACTCTGCCTTTTTAACTCATTTAATTTGTGCCTGACAGCAGACTCGAATCCTCATACCTGAAAATTAATGCAATCGTAAATCATATTCTTTTCTGTGTATCTTGAACAATAGTTCCTTCTAATGTTATACAAAGTCACATGGTTATCATACACTGGTGTCTTCTGTGCAAATTAAGAAAATTAAAAAGGAGGCCAGACGCGGTGGCTCACGCCTGTAATCCCAACACTCTGGGAGGCTGAGGTGGGTGTATCATGAGGTCAGGAGTTCGAGACCAGCATGACCAACATGGTGAAATGCCATCTCTACTAAAAATAAACAAAAAATAAGCAGGGCGTGGTGGCATGTGCCTGTAATCCCAGCTACTCAGGGAGCTGAGGCAGAAGAATCGCTTGAACCCAGGAGCCAGAGGTTGCAGTGAGCCGAAGGGAGACGGAGGTTGCAGTGAGCTGAGATCATGCCACTGCATTCCAGCCTGGGCAACAGAGTGAGACCTCATCTCAAAAAAAAAAAACCGGAAGGGGCCAGGACGGGTGTCTCACACTTGCAATCCCAGCACTTTGGGAGGCCAAGGTGGGTGGATCTCTTGAGCTCAGAAGTTCGAGACTAGCCTGGGCAATGTGGTGAAACTGCATCTCTATAAAAAATAAAAAAATTAGCTGGGTGTGGTGGAAGGCACCTGTAGTTCCAGCTACTGGGGAGGCTGAGGTGGGAGGATCACTTGTGCCTGGGAGAGAGAGATTGCAGTGAGCCCAGATCACACCACTGCACTCCAGCCTGGACAATAGAGCCAGACTTTGTCTCAAAAAAGAAAAGAAAAGAAAATGGAAGGGGCTGGGCATGGTGGCTCATGCCTATAATCCCAGCACTTTGGGAGGCTGAGGCGGGTGGATCACCTGAGGTCAGGAGTTCAAGACCAGCCTGGCCAAGATGGTAAAACCTTGTCTCTACTAAAAAAAAAATCCAAGAAAATTAGCCAGGTGTGGTGGTGTGTGCCTGTAATACCAGCTACTCAGGAGGCTGAGGCAGGAGAAGCTCTTAAACCTGGGAGACAAAGGTTGCAGCAAGCCAAGATCGTGCCACTGCATTCCAGCCTGGGCGACAGAGCAAGACTCTGTCTCAAAAAGGAAAAACAACAACAACAAAAAAACTGAAGGGAGGAAAAGAGTTAATAATAACTGTTTATTCCCCTCTCTCTTCCTACAACCCTTGGTTGGCTCTGCTGTGGCTCAGAATTCCAAATGATCCAATATTAAAGAGCTCACATAGCAACAACTTGATTTTGCTAGTAGAGGATTCCTAAATCCTGTTAAGTATGTTTTAAGTAAGTAAAAAAATCCTTTTAAGTAAGTAAAAAGGATTCTAAAATTTTACACTGAGATTAATGTTAATTAATGTTAATCAGTATCATATGCATAGCTTCAAATATATAATTACTCACACCTCTAACAAAGTCAAAATGTAAATATCTCTACCAGCACCTTCTATTAGAAACCCTAGAAGGCTAGCTAAAATTTCTTCCTGTGATCTGACTTTAGGTGTAACTTCTAGAGGCCCTTAAAATGGTGAGTTTAAAAAAACTGACACACAAATATTATTCAAACAGAAGGTAACCCAGAGCTAGCTCACCTTATTTACTAAAGGAAGTGGCCTATTGTACTGCTTATGATATATACAAATGCCAGCAAATATCAGGAAAAAAAAAAGAGTATTAATGGTTTAAACTCATAGAGTTAACAAATTAAAATCTATAACTCATAAAAGTACTACAACTCAGCTACTAACATAAATTGTCATCTTTGGGTGATCTGTTAACCCTCTGCCTCTTATACCATCAGATTAAAAGAAATGGGACATAAGTATGTGGGTGATACTGACTAGACATCTGATTTACATATAATATGGTTTTATGGATATGTTTTATAGTCATTAACTAAATCCAAAACTGAAAACTTTTGAGCACCAAACACACCACTTGGAGGAGATGCTCACTGGAGTATTTTGGATTGTGGATTCTCAGATTTGGGATGCTCAACTGGTAAATATAATACAAATATTCCAAAATCAGAAAAAGCTAGGAAACCAAAACACTTCTGGTCCCAAGCATTTTGCATAAGGGATACTCAACCTGTATAACAGTGTATTAAAGTACAATAAATGAAAGTATATGACTGTGATCTGCAGTGCAACAACAAGAAAAGGAGAGACAGACTATAAATGAAAGATTGGAGCAGTGTTCATAATTATTGACTCTAGGCGATGGATATATGGGTAGTTCATTTCATTATTTGCCCTATTTTTTTAATATGCTAGGAAATTTCCATAACAAAAAGTTTATTTAAAAAAAGATATGGATGTACTTCACAATCATTATAGTGGCTATTAGAAAAAGAAAAACAGAAACAGAAAATTGGAAATGTTGGCGAGGATGTAGACAAACTGGAACCCCTGTGCATTGCTGAGGGGAATGTAAAATGGTGCAGCTATTATGGAAAACAATATGGCAGTTCTGGGAAGGGCAAGGTGGCTCATGCCTGTAATCCCAACACTTTAGAAGGCCGAGGTAGACCCAGGAGTTCAAGATCAGCCTAGGCAACATAGAGACCCCCATCTCTAGAAGTTAAAAACAACAACAATAAAAACTAGAAGAATAACAATATGCCAGTTCCTCAAAAAATAAAACAGAAGTAACATACAACGTATCAATTCCACTTCAGGTATATACCCAAAAGAATTGAAAACAGGGTGTTGGATAGGTGTTTACACATCCATGTCCACAGCAGCAGTATTCACAATAGCCAAAAGGTAAAGTAATCCAAATATCCATCCATAGATAAACGGACAAACAAAATGTGGTCTATGCATAAATGGAGTATTATTCAGCTTTAAGAAAGGCAGGAAATTGGCCAGGCAAGGTGGCTCATGCCTGTAATCCCAGCACTTTGGAGGCCAAGGTAGGTGGATCACCTGAGGTCAGTAGTTTGAGACCAGCCTGAACAATATGGTAAAACCCTATCTCTATGAAAAAATACAAAAATTAGCTGGGCATGGTGGCAGGTGCCTGTAATCCAGCTACTCAGGAAGCTGAGACAGAAGAATTGCTTGAACCCAGGAGGCAGAGGGTACAGTGAGCCAAGATTGCGCCACTGACTGCATTCCAGCCTGGGCTAGGGAGTGAGACTCTGTCTCAAAAAAAAAAAAAAAAAGAAGAAGGGCAGAAAATGATGACACATGCTACAACATGGATAACCTTGAACATACTATGCTAAGTGAAATAAGCCAATCACAAAAGGACAAACACTGAAGTACCTAGAGTAGTCAAATTCATAGAGACATAAAGTAGAAGGTTAGTTACTAGAAACTGGGGAGAGGGGAGAATAGGGATTTATTGTTTAATGGGTATGGTTTCATTTTAAGAAGATAAGAATCTATTGGACATAGAAGGTGGTAATGATTGCAGAGCACTGTGAATGTACTTAATGCCACTGAAATACTGAAAGGACTAAAATGGCCACTGAAATGGTTAATGGTCAATGTTATACCACAATTAAAAAAAAAAAAGACTTGGATGATAGCTTTTAGGCACAATAAGAAACCAGTGAATAGCAGCAATAAAATAA